CTATAAATCAAAAGAAAAAGATGTAAAGGGGAACTACATTCTAAGTACCGTAATATTATTAAATTAAGTCAAGAAGCTGGAAGTGTTGCCTTCAAAACAAATTCTAATTCAAATGAACTTTGGAGCCTACAGTCTAGGCTTTCTTGTCTACAGCAATTCTTGTAACTAAACTGAATTTTTAAATATTATTATTTCTGATTTAAGAAAATTCCTTCTTATCAGTGTAATTTATAGAATAATCACATAGCTTTTCTAGAATAACAGAAAATATTGAATTTCTGCCAGCTTCTTTTCTCTTAAGGCAATTTATGCTTTAAATCATTATTATATTTCTTTGTGGAAAAAAAATCAAGTAAAATATATGGAACTAAACTACAGGGTAAGACTTCCCAATTCTATATCAAGATCGGACAATAAGAATATATGTTTCAATAACACATTGACACCTACAGAATATTAAGAGCTAGAAAAACTCTTAAGAGAATAGGACTAAATGATCTTTCCTTTATAAATAAAAAATGTGAGGACCAAGACTAAAGCCAAGTCCCAGAGTTGGATTACAGCTGAGCTGAGATTTAAATCCAGGTCTTTGGAATCTCAATTCAGCATTCTACTATTCAAGGCTTTATAACAAAAGTAGTACACAGCAAATAGGAAAACGTTTTTTGACTTTTAAAAATGGGCTAGCAGTATAGCTAGCAAATCCTCAAATGTATCTCTTGGATCAGCCAGGGTTCTAGCAACACAGATGGCACTCTCAAACTAGGCAATCTAGGAGAGTTTAAAAGAGATAATTTACAAAGGACAGGGAAGGGCTTAGGACAAGCAGGAGAGGACTACCTAGCCATATAGAGAGGAACTGTGGCCCTTAGGAAAAGGACATAACCAAAACAGGATAACCTGGAAGGGAGTGAGCTGGAGGAATAAACACCCATTCTCCTCCCATTCTCAGGGGGAGTTTGGGAAGGCAAATAGAAGACATCTGGAAAACCACTTTTCTAGAATTTATAACAAATGATTCTATTTAAATGTTTTCTTTACATAAGAAAAAACCATTTACATTCATACAACACAGTGAATTCAAATTAAAAAAAATAATTTGATAAATTTAGAAAAATAAGCTACCAAGGAAAGTTGAAAGAGTTTTTGAAAAAACCATTCACATTCATACAACACAGTGAATTCAAATTAAAAATAATAATTTGATAAATTTAGAAAAATAAGCTACCAAGGAAAGTTGAAAGAGTTTTTGAATAAAGATAACACTGACAATCCTATATTTAAAATAAAGAAAAAGGAATTCAAAAGATAATAATTCTGGCTCCTTGCTTCTATAAAATATGCACACATGAAATGTATCATATAAAGGTCTGCTTCATGGTAGAAGATTATATGTTCTTGGAAATTTACCATAAATAAAATATTCCACTTGATCCGAAAATAGTATTACTTTCTTCATGGACTAAAGTTTGAAAATGAAGCATAAAATCACACAACAAAATATAGTA